TTCCATTAACTTTCCAGATGCAACATTGCCCTTGCGTTCTTTATTTCCTCACAGAAGCATTTCTTTCTTGCCTTTCTCCATCTTATGTTTTAGCATGCAGTCCTGAAGGAGGCCATTTTAAGTGCTCTTTATTTATTGCCTTCCGTGGAAGAAGCATCTTTCTTTTTAATCACCTCAGCGCAAGCTCTAAGTTTTGGTTTATGCCAAATAAAACCTGCTAGCTGCAAGTCTCTTTGTTGTTCTTATTGGGAGAAAGACCAAACATATTGTACAGCATTGATTTTTTTGACTTTGTTGGATTATGATGGCCCAGGACAAACAACCGTGTGTTTAAAAAGCTTTTTTAAAGGAGTGGGCAAAATTTCTGGACTGTAAATGTTTGGATCCAACGAGGAAAACCATACCAGCCCTTCCATCAATGAGTTTTATTGGAATATCATTTTAACTATGAATGGTAATTCAGAAAGCCTGCCGGCTTCAGAAAAAAAAAAAGCCCCAACATAGTGAAACAGGGCTTTTTGTACATTACACAATACAGATGCCCCCAAGTTATCCTTAGGTTGGTTCACACACCCCTACAATATCAGGCCACAACCAAAAGAAAAAGAAAAAAAAATAAAGAAACCCAAAACATTGTGGCACCTTAAAGGCAAACTGTTATATTTTCATGGCAGCACTTGTGGACAAGTCCACTTCCTCAGACAGATGAATGGGACTACATATTACCACATAAATATGATCCATATTTCTACATTGATTCCTGGCCCCCAAACAAAGAGACCATTTGTTTCCCGGCGGGGGGGGGGGCACAAGTTGTTGATGGTGTGGCATTTCACACTTGGCAATGGCCTTGTTGCTATTCAGTTCCCCTCCCAGGAAGCATTGTCTGCAAAGAATTATCATGATTGATGGCTAAATTAATCCCAGGCTTATAGGTAACAAGTAGGAACAACATGGTAATGAGTATCTCTAATTAACAGCGGAGCTGGTAAGGTGGCTCTGGGTAGCTGGAAAGGAAATAAAGGAAATATAGTCCCTACAAGTCACTGATATTTGCTCCAGGGTACAGGGATAGGAGAGCCTGGCATGCTCTGGTCCATGGGGTCACGACTAAACGACTAAACAACAACAACAGGGGTGGGAATTTAAAAAGGCTGAAAGTCGAAGGAAAATACATGGTGCCAGTTTTGGGTAGCAAAAGAAGACATTTTCCATGTTTCCATCTCTCACCCACCCCCATGTGGAAACATATGAATAAATATACATATCTCTAGAAAACATGAGGACCAATCTGTTGAGCCTGCCTCTAAATCAGTTAGGAAAAAGGGATCCAATTTGTATAGGAAATGTTCGCATGTTATCCGCACGTGCCTTGTCACGATTTCCTTTTGCTGCTAAAGGCCTTTCATTCCACTAGATGGCGCATTGACAAAGAGAACTAATTTAATTGAGACGGCGGAGCAAAGTTTTAGGCAAGCTCCTTTGACTCGCTACCTGGCCGGTTTTGTTCCGTGTTAATTGCTCGGTACGCACGGGTGGGGAGGACAAGGAGCGCGCTCTCTCCAATCCTAAACCCAGTATTTCTCTGAATGTACACTACTGGTAAAAGCTACAGTCATCTCAATAATCTATAGGTATCATGAATACCTTCCAGACTTAAAAGGAAGGTACTTCAAAATGCCAGATGCAAGGGAGCGGGATCAGGAGACAGGTCTCGGGTTGTCTCGCGTGCTCCCAGAGGCATCAGGAAGGGCCACTATGAGATACAGGAAGCTGGACTAGATGGGCCTTAGGCCTGATCCAGCAGGGCTCTTCTTATGTTTTTAATACACTCCCCTTAATACACCCCCATTGTTTTTAAAGCAGCAGGGCTCTTCTTATGTTCTTAATACACTCCCCTGTCCCCCCCCCCCATTGTTTTTAAAACCTGAGGACATAGGCTGAAGGCATAGAATTCCCTCCCCAGGCTGTGTGGCAAAAGTGATGCTTGGGTTACCTTAAGAAAAGTTGCGTTTTGAAATAAAATTTTATGGCCAAGTGAGGAAAAAAAGATGAAATAGCCTCTTCCACAATTACTGGACCAGTGCAACAAGATTATATCGTATGATATCATATCATATATGCAGCGCGCAGTTGTCCCCTTCTCTCCCGCTGCCCCAGATCAGGTGGCCCAGCCCTACCTGGAAAGAGAAGGCGGAGGGGGTGGGGGAGGAACCTGCCGTTTCATAAGCCCGTGTTTTGGAATGTGGAGCCTACAGTAGTAAACAGCTCCGATTGCCCTCCAGGGACAGAGAATCGTGCTCAGGCGTTTTGTCAGATGAGTGGAATTAAAAGTATTTGTAAATTGCCTCGCTACTCATAACTCTGTCAAACTGCTGTAGTTTATATTGGGGATCACCTGTTTGTGTAATAGGACATAGGAGAGTTCTTTCTTTCTTTCTTTCTTTCTTTCTTTCTTTCTTTCTTTCTTTCTTTTAAAAAGTCTCTCTCTCGCTCGCTCGCTCACTCATCGCCCCCTCCCCCGGCCAAAGCCCAAAGCCGCGCCGCTTTCCAGCGCCGCCGCCGCCGCCGCCACACCCCGGTTGTTATCATACGAGGAATCCTCCCTTTCTGTGCGTGCGATAAGGGGGATAATGACAAAAGTATCACCCTGGCAGCGTCAGGTCCCGCTGTTATTAGATTCACACAAAGGCCTGCCTTCTCTGTGAAACAAAGCGGACGCGCCAGGCGCGGGCCGGGGAGGGAGAGACGGGGGTGTGTGTGTGAAAGCGCGCGCTGGGCGGGGAAGAGAAGCGTTTGGGGGTGTCGGACAGGCACCCAAGGGGGCAAATAATCCCCGCCAATATTGGGAAAGGCCGGCAGTCCAATGGGAGGGGTGGGCTAGGTTGGGGGGGCCTAAGGGGACCCAGAAGAAGAAGAAAAGATCGGCCGATCCTTGCGTTGTACCCCGACTTTTCTGCAGCGAGCTTAAAGCTGCGACCCTGGCTTTCCTCCGGGCCGCTTCGCTCTCCCGAGAACCCCGCGAGGTAGGCCCGCCAGAGAGAAAGTGCCTGACCTGAAAACACCCAATGAGTTTCCTGGCTCCGTTCATCG